TTCCCAGTGAAAGTGTTTGCTGACTGGGCTCGGTGGCTCAGCCTGTAATCCCAGCACTTTGGGAGGCTGAGGCGAGTGGATTGATTGCCTGAACCAGCGGATTCAAGACCGGCTTGGGCAACTTGGCGAGACCTCATCTCTACAATAAATCAAAAACTGGCCGGGCATGGTAGCTCGGGCCTGTAGTTACAACTACTTGGAAGGCTGAGGCAGAAGGATCACCAAAGCCCAGTAGGTCGAGGCTGTGGTGGCCAGGAGCAGCCACTGCACTCCAGTCTGGGTGACAGAGTGAGACTCCAAGTCAAAAAAAAAGAAAGTGTTCACTTTGTCAAAGATCAGTTGGTTGTAGGTATTAGGTTTTACTTCTGGATTCTCTATTCTGTTCCCCTGGTCCATGTGCCTGCTCTTGTACTACTACCATGTTGTTTTGGTTACTTTAGCCTTGCAGTATAATTTGAAGTTAGGTAATGTGATGTATACAACTTTTTTCTTTTTTGGTTCCATATACATTTTAGAGTTGTTTTTTATAATTCTGTGAAAAATAGCATTGGTAGTTGCATAGGGATTGCATTAAATCTGTAGATGACTTAGGCTATTATGGTCATTTTAACAATATTGACTTCTTCCATCCATAAGCATGGGATGTTTCTCTATTTGTGTATGACTGCTAAGATTTCTTTCAACAGTGTTTTTTAGTTCTTTTTATAGAGACATTTTACCTAGGTATTTTAGCTTTTTGGCTGCCATTGTAAATGAAACTGAGTTCTTGATTTGATTCTCAGCTTGGTTGCTATTGGTGTATAGCAATGCTACTAGTTTTTGTGTTGATTTTTTATCCTAAAACTTTACTAAATTTATTTAAGTCTAGGAGTCTTTTAAAGGAGTCTTTAGGATCCTTTAGGTGTAAGATCATATCATAAGCCTCCAAGATACTTTGATTTCTTCTTTTCAAATATGGATATGATATACTTTTTCTTTTGTCTGATTGCTCTGGATATGATCTCCAGTACTATGTTGAACAGGAGTAGTGAAAGTGGGCAACTTCGCTTTGTTCTGGGGTCGGGGGAGGGGGTGCATTCAACTTTTCTCCATTCAGAATTGCATTGGCTGCAGGATAGTCATATATGGCTATTAGTATTTTGAGAAATGTTTCTCTTTGCCTATTATGCTGAGGGTTTTTATCATGAAGCAATGCTGGGTTTTTATCAAATGATTTTTCTGCATCTATTGAAATGATCATATGATTTTTGTTATTAGTTCTGTTTATATAGTGGCCATGGTTATTTACTTGTGTATGTTGAACCATGCTTGTATCCTTGGGATAAAATCCACTTTTCATGGAATATATTTTTTTAAGTTCTGTTGAGGATTTTTGCATCAGTGTTCATAAGGAATATTGGTTTGTAATTTTCTTTTTTTGTTGTTGTTGATTGTGTATTTTTCTGACTTTGTTATGACTTCATAGAATAAGTTAGGGAGGATTCCCTCTTCTCCAATCTTGTGGAATAACTTCAGTAAAACAGGCACCAGTCCTTCTTTGAAAGTTTGGTAGAATTAAGCTGTGAGTTCACAGGTCCTGGGCATTTTTTGTTGTTGTTTTGGGGAAACTTCTAATTACTATTTCAGTCTTGCTACTCATTATTTTTCTGTTCAGGATTTTTATTTCTTCCTCAATCAATTTTGGGGGGGTTGTATGTTCCCAAGAATTTATCTCTTTTCTTTAGATTACGTTGTTTGTTTGCATAGAGGTTTTCATAATAATCTCATATGACCCTTTGAATTTATCAGTTGCAATGTCTCCATTTTAATTTCCGATTGAGCTAATGTGAATCTTCTCTATTTTTTAAAATTAATCTAGCTAGTTGTCTATCAATTGTTTGTTTATCTTTTCAAAGAACAAGCTTTTGGTTTCATTGATCCTTTGTATTTTTTTAAATTTCAATTTCATTTAGTTCTGCTCTGATGTTCATTATTTTTCTTCTACTGCTTTGAGTTTGGTTTGTTAATTTTTCTAATTCCTTGAGGTGTGATATTATGTTGTCAATATGCAGTCTTTCAGTCTTATCAATGTAAGCCTTAACTACTGTAAATTTTCCTCTGAGCACAGTTTTGGCTGTGGCCAGAGGATGTGATAACTTTCTTCCTTGTTGTCATTAATTTCAAATAATTTTTAAATTTCCATCTTGATTTCATTGTTGACCCAAGGATCATTCAGGAGCAGATAGTTTAATTTTCATATTTTTGTTTGGTTTTGCGAGTTCTTCTTAGACCTAATTTCTAGTTTTATTCCGCTATAATCTGAAAAGATGATTGATATAATTTTAATTTTTTTTTAATGTATTGAGACTTGATTTGTGGCCTATCATAAGCTCTGTTTTGGAGAATGTTCCATATGCTGATGAGAAAAATGTATATTCTGCAGTTTTGAGTTGGAATGTTCTTCAGATGACTGTTAGTTCAATTTGCTCTAGAGTCTGGTTTAACTCCAGTGTTTCTTTGTTGACTTTCTGCCTTAGTGATCTGTCTATTGCTGTCAGTGTTGCAATCTCCCACTGTTACTCTATTGTACTCGTTCTCTTTTCTCTCTCGTTCTTTGGGTCTAGTAGAATTTGTTTTATAAAGCTGGAGGCTCTCATGTCAGGTGCATATGTATTTAAATTTTTTATATCTTCTTGTTGGATTGATCCTTTTATCATTATGTACTAATGATCTTTGTCTATTTTTACAGTTATTAATTTAAAGTTTGTTTTTCTCTGATATGATAATGGCTACTTGTGCTCTTTTTTGTTCCCATTTGCATGAAATATTTTTCCCACCCATTTATCTTGAATCTATTAGAGTCTTTGTGAGTTAAGTGAGTTTCTTGAAGGCAGCAGATATTTGGGTTCTGTTCTTTTTTTTTCTTATTCTGCCAATCTGTATTTTTTTAGTGGGTCATTGAAACCATATATTCAGAGTTGATAATGATATGTAAAGTATTATTCCATTTAAGATACCAATTGTTACTTGGCATGCTTCTTTATTTATTCATGTCTTATATAGGTTTTTTTTTTTTAACTTTTTAAAATGCTGGTTCTCAATTTTCTTCTGAAGTTTATTGATCAATTTTATAATCAACCTTTTGAATTCTATATCTGGAATTTCAAAATTTCTTTTTGATTAGAGTTCATTTCTGAAGAGTTGGTGTGGTCTTTTGGGTGTGTTGGAAAACTCTGTTTTTTCATATTGTCAGAATTATTTTTAGTTTCTTCTCATTTTGGTAGACTATTTCTTATCTGAGGTTGGCAAGGGGCTGATGTAGACACTGAAGGGTTCCCTTGGTTATTTGTAACTTTGGTGTGATGACTTTCTCAATTTTCTGCTGTGGCAGTCTTGTGCTGGGTCCCTGCACTGGCTCATAACTTCCGTAGTGGCATGAATGGTTTGCAAAGTGGTGTTAGCTGGGGTTTGGGATCAGGCTTTTCCCAAAGTTGAGGTATTATATCCAATGGGCTATAATAATGGCTTCCAGCCAGGAGGTGACTTTTGTGGGAGCGAGCCAGCTGGGATGGTGGTTGTGGGTTTTCTTTTAGATATATGTTGCTCCAAGAAAATGTTCAGAAAACCTAGGCAGAGGGCAGGGCTTGAGGATTACTCAAGTTCTCTATCTATTTTGACCTTCAAAAAGATTGTGGGGAAGCTTGAACACCCTTCAAGGGGATTGTGCGGGAAGTTTGAACACCCTGCAAGAGTTCATTCTTGGCTACCCCAGTGGGAATTAAGAAGGAGCCTAGGGTCACGGAAACTGTTGTGCAGGACTGGCACCGGAGAGTTTACATAAAGGGTGAGGTTGCTGTGTAATGAGTCTCACTAGGCTTCCCACCTTGGCCTCAGGCAATTTGCTTTGAGAATGTCAAAGTGCAGCTGGCCTGAGGAGGCAACCCACCACAGCCAGGAAATGTCTGCAGCCAAGGAATCTGCCCTTAGGGCTTGAGAGGTCCCAGGTTGGCTAGAAAGCAGCTGTGCTGCCCACCAGGGTTGAGTTCCTGGGAAACAGAAGCTGGTGCTGCTCAATGCTTTCTTTTTTTCCTGCACCATTTCATATGGGCTTCTGTAAAGCACTGCTATGGGTAAGGTAGTTTCCTGTGAGGGACCGGAGTCTCACAAGGCTCATGGAACCCTGCAAGTCTGCAGCAGCACAGAACTCCTGAATTCCCTTCACTCACTTTCCTCACTGTGACTGGAGCTTCCTGGTGGTCTGTGGTGGTGTAGACAAGAATTTGGCTAGTTCCAACCCAGGTCCATGGACTTTTCATTTCTTTGCTCTCTGTGGTTATTATCGAATCCCTGAAGAGTTGTGGGGTGTGCTACTGGTTTCTGTCTGGGTGACAGATCCATCTTTTAATAAATTATTCTGGAAGACAGACAAATAAAAGGAACTTTGAATAACTCTAAGGAGGGCAAAAAACAACTATCGACAATACAGATATAGATAGTGATTATTTGATATTTTTAAAGTGATGTAAACCAATTTTTAATTTTTATCAACTATAGATAATTGCAAACATGAATACAGTGAGTTAAAGACAGTACTAGCAATCTATAACACACGCATTTATAAATTTATATACATTTATACACACACAGGTATTTCATACTCATATTCTCCAAAACGTAGTGAATCTCTGTTTCACTAAGTTTAAAAATATATATTATGAACCTTATTTTTTCCCTTTTTTTCTTCAGAACAAAAGGAAGAACCATAATTTACACTGAAGTGGATATAGGTGTCTTAGTTGAAACTGGTTTTGTATATACTGGGTAATTTATCAACATTGCCAGAAGTAAGAGATACAAAGTTCTAAAAACAATTGCTGGCCTTTACTAAGTTATATTTATCTGGATTATCAATCTTGGTTTAGATAATTTCCAATAGCTTGTCTTATATTAATGTTTTGAGTAGTGCCGAATGTTATTTCATGTTTTAAAAGAGTTTCATAATTATCTTTACTTATGTTTAGGCTGCTTGGAATTAAAAGAAGACACCATTGAAAACCTTCTTGCTGCAGCGTGCCTTCTTCAGCTTCCACAAGTAGTAGAAGTATGCTGCCACTTCCTCATGAAGCTTTTGCATCCATCCAACTGTTTAGGAATCCGAGCATTTGCAGATGCTCAAGGATGCATTGAATTAATGAAAGTGGCCCACAGTTACACCATGGTAAGAAAATTTAATATTGTAATAATAGAGACATACACTGTATCATCCAGAGGTAAAGAGAATTGATATGATGGCATTAAACAACTCTTTATATTTACGTTTTTATTATGGGATACAATGTACTACATAGTATTTTATAATTTTAAAGTAAAAGCAGTATTATATAATTGATTTAATTATTGCTTTATTTACACTTAATAGGCAAAACAGAAATAGTGACTATTTGATATTTTAAAAGTGATGTAAATTAATTTTTAAAATCACTTCCAGCACATCTGTCTTTTAACATCCACTTTCACAGATGCCCTTTAAAATATATTTTTTAAACTCTCCATCATAGAATATTATATGTTGTATGTCTATGCCAGTTTAACTTATGGAGAAATATCTTACAGTCATAGTGCATATTTTATATTGTATCCTGTTTATTTTTTCCAATGATTATTGGATTCCAGAACTCCCAAAGATTTCTATACTAAGAGGAAATATTTAATGTATAAAACAACCAATCTATTTTTTGTAAATATGATTTTCCATACTATAGTTACAATTTAAATGTTTAAATTGAGTGGATATGCCTCAGTATATTCTTAAAATAAGTTAAGCCTATTTTATATTTTTCTCTTTGATCTTATTCCCTGTATGTATGTATTTTGACATATTTATAAAGATTTTTAAAGTAATTTGAATTGTATGATTTTAATGTGTAAACTAAAATCAAAAAATTATTTCTATTCTAGAATAGAATAAGCAGTTATAGGTTTCATATCTCTCTTATTACATACTCTACAAATAATCATTATAAAACCACTTAATACATTGCCTGGCATAAGTCCCTATATTAATGCTAGCTGTTTTTGCTATTGGTATTAATATTCTTAATGTTTTCATTGTTATTACTAAGACAACCAATTATAAAGTTCTATGGAACTTTTTCTTTCCAACTAAAAGCAAAAAAATTACATGAGATAAATCTCATTAAGCTTTATGATTGCTATTTATCTTAAAATTCATATGTTGAAATTTAACACTTTTTCTAATCTCTAATTAAAGTCAACCACTTGGAAGTATTCTAATTATCATTTGGCAACAGTGTTTCAATATTATTTTCATTTTCTTTTTTAATCTCTTAAACAGATTAGTAAGTTAAATGTAAATATAGATGTGAAAGGAAAGAGACACATAATTTGTAATTCTACCATCAAATCCATCCTTCTTTAGAAGTATTCAATGATAGATATGATGCTACTTTTGAAATTATATGAACCATATAAAATGAATGCAAACAAATAATTCATCAACCAAAATATCAAAGTCCAACTGCCATCATTTAATTAGGCATATTTCATTACTTTTGGGAGTTCCTGGCCTAGCTAAGCCAAAGAACAATATGCCTCTATATCCAGAGGGATAGTGGTCCCTTCTGGTATAGTTTGACATTATTAATTTAGTAATAAAAATGTTTTTTATCACAGCTGCCTGGGTTTTTCTTCAATTCATCACACAATAACATCTTTTGTTTTCTTTTAGAGACTTTGAAATGTATACTTTATAGACAAATATGTTTAAAACAGAAATACAGAAGAATTTTAAGGCACTTAGTTCTGAATGCCTTTATATTAATTTATTTTTGAGACAGTGAATAGCTTATGTGCCATGTCATGTCTGTTGAAATTTAAGTTATTTCAAATTATTTTGGAAACATGAATGCTCCGGTGTTCTTCAGATGAGCATGGTCACTATTTTAGTGAAATAGAAGAAAAATGAGTGACCAGTTGTCTTTCTAGATCTCTGTTTCCCTCCATTGCAACAATTTAAAATGAATGTTTTGCATCTGATGTTTTGATTTCTAATACATATTTGCCTTTGATCCATTTCTAATCAGGCACATGTCCTCATCTAATTTAGTCAACCTGTGCTTTGAAAAAAAAACTACTATGCTATGTTTTCTTTTCTCTCCTTAGCTAATTTAATAGCAAAGCATCACAGTTTTTCTACTAAATCTGGGGTGGAATTCTTTCTTGTTAATATTAGGTAGAAACCTGAAACTAGTTTTAATACCTTAATTTAAACTTTGGCTGTCTAAATATAAGCATAGCACCAAAATCAATGAACAAAATAGTTCCACTGTATTCTATTAGATTTCATATGAGACCTATGCTTCATTATGGGTATCACATTATAAAAGCAGTAGAGAGTGACTAATAGAAAGAGATGAGGATAATGAGAATGGTAAATCTTTTATAATCATGGCATATGAAGAAAAGCTGGAAAAAAATTGTTGCCTGTGGCTCTGTAAAATTAGGGCATGACAGCTGTTTTCATGTATTTATTAGAAAGGGCTGTCTTTACACCAGTAGTGTGTTTCTCATTCTGTATTCCTCATTCTGTTCTTTTTAAAATTTTAGCAATGCAATCAGCTTTTCAGATTAAATATCATATCAAATGAAAGCATAATTTTAAAATTCATCTACCTTGGGAGAGATGGATGGAAAGTCCGGAGTCCACTTACATATTCTGATCTTTCCTTCTCTGCTGAGTTGTTCATTTTCACTGAGTACATTGCCACTTCCCTCCAATGTCAGCTCTGCCTTTTGGAATAGATGCCTGGCATTTCATTTTCCAGCAGTTTTTTTTTTTTTTCTACAGATGGTTCTGGGTTAAAGTTTGCCAATAAGAGACATCTATGCAAGATATAGAATGTGGAAGAGAAGAAGAAGACATTTTGCAGGCACATAGGTAGGCAAATGGAAAGTGAAATAGCTTTCTTTTCTTTTTTTTTTTTTTTTTGAGTTGGAATCTCAGTCTGTCGCCCAGACTGGAGTGCAGTGGCTGCTCCCGCCCACCGCAGCCTCGACCTGCTGGGCTCTGGCGATCCTTCCACCTCAGCCTTCCAAGTAGCTGGGACTACTGGCATGTGCTACCACAACCGGCTGATTTTTTTATTTATTGTAGAGATGAGGTCTCGCTGCCCAGGCGGGTCTCGAACCCGCAGGCTCAGGCAATCCACTCACCTCAGCCTCCCAAAGCCGTGGGATTACAGGCTGAACCACCGAGCCTGGCTGTGAAATAACTTTCAAGTGAAATAACTTGAAGTTGTTTACATTGCTATTGTAGATGGAGACTTTGTTGGGAAGTTCTGGAGGAATGCAGTATCTTTGTGGGGTGCTTACAAAAATAATTCACATTGAGATAAAGGTTAAGATCATTAGTAGACACTTCTGTGTTCCCTCTAGCCCTTTCAGTGGTTGTTTGAGCCTTCAATTCTTTATCCACAATCTTTTGAATTTAGAGCATAGAGTGATTTATTTTTTTAATCCAACAAAATCTTCAACATGTACTCTAACATAGCAGGTTCAAACTCCATGTCCTGATTATGTATAGCCCTCCACACTTAGCTTCTAACCTGTCACCCAGGCATTTTCTCTCGAAATAAAATAAAATAGATCTTACCTCTGCTAAACATGTGTTGTGTAGGACCCTCACTCTTACTTTATTCAAACATTTATCTTGTTGAAATCCTTGTTGTCAATTCTTAATAACCCCTCAGGTTCTAGCTTTTCATGGCATTCTCCCCCTCATTTAAAATCTTAGTATTCCTTGCCTTAGTGTTATGTGATGTCATCTAAACTTCTTTAAACAGCTAAATATAATTTTATGTCTTTGTGACTGATCTTTACATATATTGCGGATTCCTTTATGACAATTTCCTTTATGGATATTGCAGATTCCTTTATGACAATTCCTTTATCAAAATTCCCTTACATATATTGCAGATTCCTTTATGACCGATCTTTTCATATATTGCAGATTCCTTTATGAAAAAACAAATCTTCTCCATTGATTTTTTTCTTCTGGAAAATTGTCTAGTATATTGCAATATGTTCATCAATCCTCTTGGGTATCCTTTTCGATTTGTGACTCTTGGCAGTTTTAAATTCACTCATTCAATAAGACTACCTGTGGTTTGCCACTAACATTTTTCTAATCACATCTTCTGTTATTATTTTTCCTGCTCATATAGTTCACATAGCCACACTTACCTCCTTACTTTTTTTAGCTATACTTTTCATAATATCACTTGGAGACTTTTGTGCTTGCTTTTCTTTCCCTCTCATGAAAATACTCTTCCACCAAATATTTATATTATTTTCGCCTCTACCTCATTCTACTCTCTGCTCAAGTGTCACTTCCACAGGGATCTCTTCTCTAAATATACCAATACCTTCAAAATGCTCTGTTCTCCCTTCTCTTCTTTATAACCTTTAGAAAACTCATTAGTTTCTGGCTTTATATTAATTCTTGTTTATGTTGTCCTTGCCTACCTTCTATTTAACATAGTAGCTTCATGATAGCATTTTTAAATCTTTTGTAGCCTAAGTGCCTAGAAAAATGTCTGTACATGGTATTAATTGTTGAATGAATAATGAGGATGAGTAACTGTTGCCTAAATGTACCAGGTGCTCTGGATGCTCCCAACAGGTGGCTCTGGGAATGCAATAGAGAACAAAACTGAAGTGATATTGCCCTTAGGGATAAAGTTAATATGTTGAATGCAAATGAATTATCATAATAAATGACAGTTATACATGCCTATATATGTATGGATGTTTACACACACACATGTAGTAAATACTACAACAGAAAATTATAAGATGCTATAGGAGAGTATATCAGAAAAGCCTATTTAAATAAGTGATGCTTACATGAATTGAAAAAGATGAGGTAGAATTAGTCAGGTTTAGCAAAGTTGGCTAAAGACCATTTATGACAGAGGAAAATGGATGTGCCAGATGATCTGAGGTGGGAATGATCTGTTCACAGAAAGCCAAGTGGAAGTGGGTAGTGGAGACGGAAGGGAAGATGGTACTTATGAAGCTAGAGATTTAGACAGAACCAAATATTGCAGTATTATGGAAACGTTGTAAAGGATTGGGTTTTGTCTTGAGTATAATGGTATACCACTGAACATTTCAATCAAGTAAGGGCCTAGGTTTCAT